ATGCACACTTCAGCTGGTGAAGTTTGGTTGGCCTCAGGAAAGTGAGAAATGACCCTGCCTTTTGCTGGAATTCAACTTTTATAGTTTTGCTATCAAATACATATTCATGCTGCCTAGTGAATATTGAACTAAGGGGGTGGTTCCCAGTTATGAGACATAGTCTTGCACATGCTCACTTGGTCTCTTTTTAGGGCATGTTCATTGATCAAGTTCTATCACATGCACTGAACATATTCAAGAATATTCTGTGCTCTTTAGCACCTCTAGTGGAAGGTCATTCAAAGGATAAATTCCACTTTACTCAGCATGCTTGGCTATTATGGTATATAACTTCTTCCTACTGAGCATGCCCAGCCACTGGATTTGCAAGAGTCAGCACCCTGAGATCTCAGTCTCCCCATGTTGGTGCTGAAAATATGTCCAGCAAGTAACAGTAACGCTGCTCTAGGGGAGTGCCTAGAGGAGAGGCCTGAGACCTTGGGGAGTAGTTTGAAACCCAGAAGCATGTCCTGAAACCTGAACCCAGGGAAACAGAGCACCTCCTATCTCAGAATGACTACCCTTTAAGGAAGGTATTATTATCTTCATTTTGCAAATCAGGAAATAAATGTCTAGAGAGGCTAAGTCACTGGCTTAAGATAACACAGCTAGTAATTGGTATAGCTGTGATTAGAACCTAGGTCTGTCCGATTCCTTAGACCATTCCAGCCTCACCAAACTCTGCCACAGCTACATATAGAAATAACATGCCCTTGTACCAATGAGTGATAAAGAATAGAAATTTATGAGTATTTCAAGATGCTGGCCTTCCAGGTTCTAGAGGTACTGCTTTACATTTACAGTTTCCTGAGAAGACATCAGTTTGCTCATATCATATCCCTGCTTAAGAGTAGTGCATATGTCATGGAATTTTTGTGAGGATTAGATGAATTAATACATAAAATTACTTAGAATAATGTCTAGCACATAGTAAACACTTAGTAAATGTTAGTTATTACTTAAGGATTTAAGTAATGATTAACTTGTGTACCATAGGAGGACTAGTTGAAGGAACTAGGTATTTATAGCCTGAGTAGATTAACAAGGTGCGACTGATACCTTTCTTGTAAAATAGAGAGTAGAGATGATCAGTGTTGCTCCAAGACAAAATTAAGGCTAATGGGTAAGAGTTTGAGGAGGCTGATTTTGATTATAATGAAAATTTTCCAGGCATCAGCTGTCAAAAGTGGAATATACCACTTAGAATACAGGGAATGCTCTGTTCTAGATCTAGTGTATGTACCACACTAGATTCACTGGGCACCCCTTCTTTGCTACCTACCAGCCCCCACATCTAAGCCCAGGCCGCTTGCTCCCCAGCCAGAGTGTGAAGTTAACACCTCTTGAAACAGAATTTCACCAGTGAAGGATCAGGAAATGTAAAGGGCCAGCAAGTGAATGAGTTGCTCATTCCCTCTAACCAGCTCTTCCAAGTTTGTTTTATGTGGAAACCAGGACCGATTCTAGAATTTGTAGTGCCCAGTGCAAAATGAGAATGCAGGGCTCCACTGCAAAAATTATTAAGAATTTTAAAACAGGGATAATGCATTAAACAAAGTACAGGGCCCTTCTAAGCAGGGGACCCTGTGCAACTGCACAGGTCACGTGTCCGTGAATCTCAGACACTAAACAATCAACTGTATTTTTTGTAAAGCTGTGGCCAGTTCTGTAACTTACTCTCTTATATTTGCTTTCTTCCCTTTTCTCTCGTGCCTTTTTCTCTGGGATTACAACCCACCCTCACCCCCAATGAGTCTATAACAAGTAAACTCTATCTTAGGCTCAGTTTTCCAGGGACTTAGACTATGACTCTGTAACCTGAGTTTTCAAATTTGAGAGCCTGGTCCAAATCATCTTGAATATCATTTCTAACTCAAAGATAACATAATTCCCCCAAATGTAAGGGTAAACATTTTATATGGTATTGTTTGTTTAATGTACCCATCAATTTGTATAAGGCAGAATTCCCAGATTATTATATCTCCAATATTTTATTCTCTTTTGTTCAGGCATAATATTAATAATTCATTAGAGGGGAAGTATAGAAAAACCTAATAAAGAAAGGTATCCCATTTCTTCACTTTCCCATTTGTCTAAGCATCTCCTGCAGACCTCTCTTCTATATATCTATATTGTTAGACAGATTTCAACTTCCTGCCTCCTTTCCATACTCATATAATAATTGATATGGTAACTTTCAATCATTATGATTGTGTCTAACCTCTGCTTGCACTTTTAGTTGCAGAAATGGACATAAATTTAAGTGTGAACCAAACCTTCTTGAAATGTATGTATTCATTCAGGACACATTTATTGAGTACCATGTGTAAAGCACAGTAATAAATATTGAGGGAAAAGCAAAAAATTAGATTTGGATTGTGCCATTAAGTAGCTTGAGGCTTTTATAAAGGAGACTGTGTGTTTATGTACATGAGACCAGCAAATTTCTAATTCGAGGCAGAAGATATTATGTGGAAGATCACCTAAACAAACAAAGTGCATATAAAATGGCTGAAAATTTGGGGTAGAGTTCTAGAGGGATTTATAAAGAACTAAGGATTTGACAAGTGGAATTGGGGAGGATACGTGTTCAGAAAATATTGATTTATTCAAAATTCAACTTCAGGGAAAAATCAATTTTCCTGGATTAAAAAACATTCTTTCTTGTTATTTGAGATTTCTAGACTTTTGTGTGCATAGCAGCTTGATTAGGCTATTTCTGTACTGAACAATCAGAAGGTGAAGTCATTATTATCATGCCCTTTTTACTAGTGGAATTACTATTGTTTTTAATAGGGGGATTACTACTGTGACCTAAACCTGGCCTTTGGGCACATTTTGCTTACTGCAGAAAGTTATCATGAGTTTATTTCTTCTGTAGTGGAGGGAAAGTAACTTTTCCTTCTGCTCATTTTAGGTTCATTGGCTGGGGCCCTTGTAATGAAAGACGGATTAACAAGAGGAAAAAAAAACACAATTTCATTTAAGTGTTGTGTGACAAGAGAGCCCTCATAAGAAAATGAATACCCAAAGTAACAGTTAAACCTGAGTATTTTATATAGTAGATCTGATGAGGAATGGACGGTCCTAGAAAAATATGATGGGGAAAGAAAAAAGTATGAGCTAACTATAATAAACTGGGGGAAACTTAGCAAGACCTGTTTGTTTAGATTCCTCTCTGTCTCCCTTTGTCTTCAAAGATAAGGATGCTCCTTTCCTCTGAGTGTATATGAGCGTTACCTCTCACATGAGGCTCTTAGAACCTGCTACCAGGGAAGATCATAAATTCCCTCCTATATGTGTCATTTCTCAAATTCCTTCAGCTTAAAGTACTCAGTAAGTCAAGGTGCCATATTTTGGGGTATTGTGTCCCAAACCCCATCATATCCATGTAACCTAAATGACATGAGCAACTGGTCAATACCATATCTTCAGTTTTTCAATCAAGCAAGTGGGACAGGAGAAACCTTTTTATTAATTAGGGACAGTACACCAGGACAAACTACTTGAAAAAAATTCAATTTTAAAATCAGAGAGAATGATTTCCTCCACAGCAAAGTCATCCTTTAAATAAAACAAGCAATGATTGCTGAACCATTAGCAAAATTTTGGCAAGACAAAACTCTCTTAGACTTCCCCAATAAAGAATAATTTCCAAGCTTGTCAGATCTAAACAAATAGAACTAAATTGGAGAGAGCTATTTAAAATGACAGATTAATAGAAAAAATAAATTGTCTTTAGTGTTGGTGTTTGATTTTCAGTCTCTTGTACTTCCATGTATATTTAAGGAGATTTCTCCTCATTGAGTTTTATAAAGGTGTGCATGTCAATGTGCTAAATTTGTGTCAGAATACTTTGGCTGAAATTTGCCAGGGGGTTGATTTTGTCAGTCTCTTGAATTTTTCATTATAATGCTGTTATGCCTCTGAATTAGACAAATTTACTTAAAAAAAAAAAAGAATTGTAATATTTTTTCTGTTTGTGTCTCACAGTCCTTTAATGGAAAGAACAGTGTTTCAGAGGCCTGGATTTTAAAACCAGTGTCACAGGCTACCTATTAAATGGTAACACTTACATTGTCTTTTCAACTAGAGTCCTGCCAAATGCTGTTGATATTGACAAAAGTGTCCTCAAACATAATTGTCAGTCATACAGTAATAGAGTATCTATAAAATAGTTATAAGTTTTTTTTTTAAGTGTACCTCTGTGAAAAGAAGGCATCATGAGAGATCTGGGAAGTATGCATGTGTTTATGAGCAGTTTGAGTACAATACTTAAAAATTATTAGTTGTCAATGAGAGAAAAAGAAAAGTACAGAGAATATTAGGGGTAATTAAAGCAACTAATGATAGCGTTTAAGGGCATGCTGAAGCTTTGTGGGTGTGTATGTGCATATGTGTTTGCTGGGGATTGCTCTAAATTCTCTTTCTGTATCAACAGTTATTTTTTATATCTCTGTGAGTTTGAAAAGTACTAAAGATGGGAACATTTACCATAGATGTTGGTTTATAAAAATCAGGATATTTCAACAAAAGAAAAATATTTTATCCTTCTATATAATTTAACCTTAAATCATTTATAGAGCCCAGAACATGCATCAGTAACATAAGATCACTTTGAACCTTAGTTTCTCTTTAATCTTCAAATTAGATTCTAAGGAATGAAATATTAGGAATTCCATCAATAAATTTAAGTAGAAATGAATTCTTTTGAACTAATAGCTGAGTAAAATGGTGATATTCCCATATTAAACATGATGATTTGGTATGGTATATTAGACATTTTCATTTATTTCATGGAGAGTAGAATTTTTATGAGCAGTAATTCAGAAAAATGTGAGTTGACTTCATGGAACTATTCGCCAGATTAAAAAAAGTACTTTAATTGATGCTGTTTTCTTTCAGTTATTTTGTGGAACACCTGGTGAATTATTCTAAACGCTTTGCACATTGTTCTTTAGTTTCAGCTCAAATTCTCAAAAGCAACCTTGCAGCAATGGAACAACAAATTGTTCATCTGGAACGTGACATCAAGAAATTCTCCCAAGCAGAAAATCAACATGATAAGTTTGTGGAAAAGATGACAATATCCTTTATTTATTTAAGCATTTTGTTTATTTGTTAGTTTCTCTGTCTATCTGTCTATTTACTATCTGATTAGTCCTAGACCAGCTCGTCTATTCACACTGTCTAGATGAATTTGTGTATATGCTACTTTTATATCAGCAGCATAAATTTGGTTTCATGATGTTTTGGACCAAGTAAAGTAGGCAAGGGAACAATTAGATCAGAAAAAAATGCCATTTCTCAAAGAAGAATTTCATTTGAAAGCCCACGAGATATGTGAGGTAAGTCTTATGAGGCTTGATTACACCTAAAACAAAACAAAACTGAGAATCTTCTTATGTAACCAAATACTTGAAGAAACTGATCAATAGATTTTTATTTTTTTGGTTTTTTTTTTTTTTCCTGTGTGTGTGTGCATGCATTTTATGAGGGTACACGTGCATTTTCTTTTTTTTAAATGTAGTTTTATTAATATTTTTTTACATTCTAGGATGTTGTTGTGGAGCAGTTGGGCAGTTGGGAAGGAGGGGGAGAGGGGAAAGGGGAAGGAAATGTGATGGAAGGAGGAAGGAGGAGAGGTGCGATTGAGGCCTGTGGCACCCCCCTCATTCCCACAGGGGAGACCAGGAGGCTTCCAGTGGTGGCTTGGCCATTGCCGGGCTGGGTGCAGATGTCGGGGGGTGGTGTGGTGAAAGCCCTCGCACCCCACCACTCCATCTTGGGAACCTGGGGCCCTTCTTGCTGAGGCTTGGTGGTCATCCCAGGGCTGGCTGTGCATGACAGGGGGGACGTGGCCGAGGCCCTCAGCCCCCCACCACCCCGGCTCAGGATAGTCTGGGGCACTTTCTGTGGTGGCACTGTGGTCGTGGTTGTAGCTGGGCTGGCTGCACGTTTCGGGGGGTGCATGGCCAAGCCCCTCGTCCTCCACCCTTAGGACTTGTTGTGGGTGTCAGGGGGCATTGCTGAGGCCCCTGGATCTCCTCCCTTTCTGGCTTGGTACCCCAGGGGACTTCCAGTCCTTCTAGGTGTTATAGGTGTTCTTTGGTGAAATGAGACCTTTGCTAGTTAACAAACTTTGTCTCTGGCTGTGGGTACTTTGTTTTTTCTTTCAGTTCTGTGTTGGATTATTTGCTGTTCCCACCACTTTAACTCTGCACTGGAACTAATTTGTTGTCCTTTGCTTACTTCTAAAATGGGGGAACTTCCTGTGGGGACCACTACTTGAGCTCTGTGGTTGAACTAAATTGCTGCTTTGCTGCTGATTCCCTGGAGAAGTCTTTTTATGCAGCTCAGGTTTTAATGGTTGACTTTATAGATACCCAGCTCTGGCAACCAGGTGCACCTAGGTTGTGTAGAAACTCTGGTCTTGGTCTGAGTCTTTACATCAAACTGCACCCATGCAATTCTGTATTCCTGACCAGTCTCCTCTGAGTGGTCCTGCACTGATTGGGGGGCAGATCCTTGCTGTGCCCCAGTGTTCCTCCTGTGGGCCCATCTCCCCCGCCACCCATGCTCCAAACACTTCCCATGGGATGGGCTGTGCTTGGGTCCCTTGCAATGACTCACTGGCCTCTGAGTGGCTCCTTTTTTTCCCAATTTTGTGGCTCCTCACTGCTGTGTGCATCCACAGGAACCCTTTCAGTGGTCTTGCTGTCCTAGGGGCCACCAAGGCCCTCTTTTTCCCCTGCAGCCTCCAAGCAACTCCATCCGAAGGACACAGCTGCGGCTTTTGCTGGCTCCTGCTCCATGTGCTCAGCAGCTCCAGCCTGGATGCTGCCAAGGCTTGAAATGGCCAGAGCAGCATCCATCGTGGCTTTCTCTCATCGTGGCTTCTCCCACCTTTGTGCACTCCATAGGTCTCTCCTCCTCTTCCCTTGAGCTCTAGCAGCCCCAGCTTGGCTGTTGTTGCTTTTTTATAGTTGTAAACTGTTTGATTTGTTGGATAGAGTGATGCTGGGGACCGTCTATTCTGCCATCTTGACCGGAAGTTACAGCCATGTGCATTTTCGAGGGCAGTCAGTGGATGACTAAGATCAGTAGACTGAAAGGATTGGGAAGGATAAATAGATGCATGGATGGATGGACAGTTTAATTGATCAGTAGATAGTATACTTAAACAATAGTAGATGTCTGTGTAACATTCAGCATTTCTTGCTAAATAAACATTTTGAAACCCCTATTTTACATCATGTAGTATATTCATATAAATTACAGAAATATATGAAAGGTGAATGTGAGGAATAGCATTTAGCTTGAATTGTTTAATGTTAAATCTGGTGTCTAAAGATAAACTATGTTGAAGCTGATTTTTTTTTTCTATTTTGGTTTTCAAAAGTTAAAGCCATATCCTCCTCCTGTGGGTTTAAATAAATATCTTGAACTGCAGATTGATTCACCATTTTATATCTCTAGAGGGAATAAATACTGTAAATTTTTTATCTGATAATAAGTAAATTCTTTCAACAACTATATGGCAGTCACCTTGTTTCAAGGTTAAACCTATTGCTTTTTTCTTCTCTGATATGCTTTCTTTCATGCCCAACTTGGAAGTTATGGTGCTGAACTCGAATTACTTGAGAATAGCAATTTCGATTTATGTAAAAAAAAATTTTCAGTCACGAATACCATGTTTTGTGTGGTCCTTTAGCGATGCTGACTACTTTCATTAATACAAATATTGAAAACAAGTTTGTGAGTGATTAGAGGCAGGGAATCCTCAAAAATAACCTGGAGTTGCATAGCTGGCCACATTGGGAAATTTCATGTGAAGGTTTCACTTTAATGCAGATTAGATTTTTTTCTTTCAAATATGTTATATTGTCCTGTGGCTAGAAACACCATGTTCATTTTTTACCTTTTGATTTTGATTCTTACCTCATGTATTTGAATTTCCTTCCTGATCCCCTTGTTATTTTGAACATTTTCTTCTACAGTTGGCTTATGGCCACACAACAGCTTGCAACATTGAGTCTTTGTTGCTCATTTAGAGAAAGAAAAGTAATTTCAAACCCTCATGAACTTGGCCTGGACTCCTTATTTTATTTCTTTCTTTATGCAGGTAATTAAGCACTTTAAAATGAAAATCCAGAGCCTTCTGTATCTGTATGTTACAGATGAATGGTTATTCTTCATTTAAGTGGCATTAAAGTGTGACTATTTGCCCACAAGGGGATTGAAAACTATATTAAAATGTATGGGGCTGTTACTTTGCATATCACATTTTTAAGGAAAACAAAATAAAATATACAGCAATTTATTTCAGAGAAAAGTCAGAATATTGAGTTGAATTGTTTAAAACCTATAAATTAATGAATTACAGTGATAAAACTGTTGCTGAAATTATTCTTACTTTGGAAGACTCCTTGGGTGCACCTATTGAGAGTTCTGATCTTGTAAAAAGACACAAACAAAATGCATAATCATCATATGTATATATGTTATGTGAATTCTGGTACCTACTTAATATTTTTTTCTACCCTTCTGACAATTAAAAAAAAGAGAAGAATATTTTATTATGGGATACTCAATACTGTTTTAAAATTAGAACGATGATTCCATTTCTAGTATAGGATTTTTTGTACTGGATGATCTTTCCAATGTTTCTGTCCCCTGCCAAGAAGTTGTTTTGCTTCAGGTCACTGGCCCTTTAGATTGAAGAACCAGAGCACAAGTATGGGAGTAGTTTCTCCTGAAAGTAACCTTACCTACTTAAATAATAATCTCTCTATAAGGACTGTGAGTGGCAAAACTGAATAGTACTCCCATGCCTCTGGGCTTTCAGAACAGCAACAGTGCTACAGTTAGCAGCAATGGCCTGATGGCTGCAGAGCAACTAAATATCAGGTGGATCTTCACCAAATCTCAAGGTTGGGCTATGTCCTATAGCACCCTATATTCACCCTTACTCTTTCATAGTATTGAATGAAAACTTACAATCTGCTAGGCATTGCCAGGCCATGACAGTACAACAGTGCACACAGTAAAAAATCTGACCTCAAACAGCTGACATTTATATTGGCATTTATATGCTTTCTGGCTTGCTGATCCATGGCAGAGATCATATCTGGTTTGTTCATTACTGTATGCCCATCACAGGGCCCACCACCTAGCACAGTGTAGGCACTCAGCAAATGTGTGTTGAATCACCTAGTTCAAGCCCATACTTTGACTTTGCAGCTCAGAAAGGATATTGTCAAACAATGGTAGGCTGTGCTTATACTTACAAAAATTTTCTTCATATACATCTCAGGAACTTGAGAAACATCGAATTGCCTTTTTAGAGCAGGCCTATAAAGTATAATCAGTTTTAGGAGGGGTGATTCACACTTTTTAAAGTAAATGTATAAAAAAACTGACCCCCCCCAAAAAACAAAAAAGGAATTAAACTCCTATGAATGGAGTGGCCCAGACTGTTTCCAGCCTCCTGAAGCCAATGGCTTTAGAAGGAAACTCTGCAACTCTTTCTCCCTTTCTGTATTCAAAATTGGTTGCTTGTTCTGACTCAGAAAAAAGAAATAGACAATATAGGGGAGAAAAGATTTCTTTTCTCACCCATCACAAGGTTCATGGCTGGCACCCCTGTGGTAAAAGACAGATGTTGTAACACCAAGGTCAAGGATTTTCATCCTTATACCGGCCAGCTGCCAAACAAACAAACAAAATGTTAATAAGAGGAAAGCATACAAATTTATTTGATACAAATTTTACATGGCACGGGAACCTTCATAAATGAAGACCCAAAGAAAAGGGGGGAAAGACAGTTGGGTAGAAATATGACTGGAGGACAAAAGGGTATGATCTAATGGTAATAAACTGGGGAGAACTTAGCAACGTGTGTTTGTTCAGATTGTTCTTGGCCTCTCTGTATGAGATTCCTTCCTTCCAGGTAGAGGGCAGGACACCTGTCACATGAGGATCTTCAGGGAGGAGGATGAAGGTCAGAGAGTGACCTTTCCAGGTTTTATGGCCTGCTACAGCGAAGAAGGGGTGAAGGAAATTCTAGTTTCTGTGGCCTGCTTCAGG